GTATTAGCTTGTCCAGTTCTGTAGGGCAGATTCAAGAACAGTCTCAATTTCACCCAATTTTGTTAATAGTGTAGCAATTCATAAGTCATCTGCAATACTGCATACACAAATGACCTGGTTCTAGGTGTGATTGGCTGGTCATTGGTGTAGATGTTGAACAATGTGGGAACGAGGACACTGCCTTGAGGTAAACCGTTCTGGGTCCTCCATATACTGTTCTAGCCATGCAGGCTGACAAAGAAGTGGCAATTCTTCATCACTGTCAAAACAAGGCTGATCACAGATAATGATGAATTGTTTCATGCAAACTTGTACTGAAACAATTTTTGTGTTAAAGACACAAGTAAGGAAACATATACATGTAAATAGTCCATATGTACAGTACCAACTCTTCCAAAGCAAATTTGGCTGCTAGCTTAAATTTTCAACTGATGTGTCTGTGGGGACAGAATTGGGGAGTGAATACTGAAGAGAAAGAGGTCAGATCAGAAAATTCAACAAGAGGCTGGGTACCAGCATACTGAGCTCTTCAGACCTACCAGTACAGGGCATGTACATGTATGCATCTTATTTCTTTCTTTTAAAACTTTAAAAACTCAATGAAGTGAAGGTGTAAATCATAACCTACAGGTGGTCATCATCTATGCTGTTAATTACATGTACCTTAGAAATAACTGAGATTTAGTTTCTATACAATGCAGAATGTAAAAAGGTTAAGTTTGTGATGCGCTTGGAAGCACAACACTGACTGTGCATCGTTGGCAGAAACTGGGTGTCATTTGTGTGTTTTTCTTTCTTTACAATATGTTAGATTAGTTTAACAGGTTGAAAGCAGTCCGGCCAAGTGATTTTGTTAAGTTATTCAAGACTCCAGTCAAATTAGTGACTTGAATCATAATGATGATGAGATTTTGTTATTTTTGTAGTAGTTTGTTCTAAGATCAGTGTCTGTATTATTAAAGTCTTTTCATAACCTGTAGTCAAGGTAAAGCTGTAGGAATAAAAAGACTTGGAGCAATACGACCCAGAAAGTCCTTACTGCATGTGCATTTAGGTCACTTGTGGGGTCTGGTTTTCTCATCTCTTTTGATTTAGTTTGGAACCATTGTCATATCAGAGTCATTGCAGCCTCAGCCATGTCTGATACTGTATGTAGAGGTAGATAGATTGTACCGTATTTGTGCTTGTATCCAGGCTACACAGTGTTCCATTAGTGATCTAATTTCAGTAGCCCCCTCAGCCCCAGTGTACTGTACATAACCAATCAGAATCAGTTGTGAAAACATATACATCTAGCATGCCATGGCCTATGATGTTCAACTGAGACTCGGTTACCAAGACTGAGATGATGAAATCATCTGTTTACAAACCCAACTGAGAGGGCACATAAAGATGATCCATGATCATCAGAGACACATGCTGCACACTTTTTGAATTAATGTGATAGACAGTGATATGTACATGTAGCTATGTGTTGTAAAATATATTTTAAATGATCTCAAACGTGCACATGGATGTGTGTGGATCTGTGGGTTGTCCTTCAAACAGGAAAACAATAATTGTTGGTTGCGATAAGAGCCCCTAGTGTCTTTAATCAAATGCATGTACCCACATGTACATGTACGTGGAGACATGTATGTAGAGTGTACTTAAATGAGTGCCAGGCATTGCTGAAAAACCACAAAATCCTTTACATTTCTGTGAACATGGCATTGCTCTTGTAAGTTTTGTTTTGTGTGAGTGAGTGTGTGCACATGGCTCATTCAAACACCGAGATCTTGACCATTGGCGCAGTTCACAGACAACCTACCATGTGTACGGCTCAAAGAAATCGGTCATTAGTTGTCTTGTATATGTACATGTATACAGGCGCTGGGTAAAGGGGAACTTTTGTTCTTGCACAAGTTGCTGGACTTCAGTTTACCGACACAGCTGATATTACGGTACATCCACTTAAACACTTATTATGGAGCGTCAAAAGTGGACAACTTCATTTTCTCATTTTCTGCTATTAGATTTTCAGGATTTTGGCCTTCGCCTTTAGCATTTTCAAAAAACACGATTTCCCGCTTGGAGAAATTTGGATTTTACTTTAACAATTCTTTGTGGGGCATCAAAAGTGGACAACTAAAATCTTCAAATTCCCACTGGCAAACTTACTGTCATGCTCCAAAAGTGGACAACCCCATGTCTCATTTTTTGCTAGTAGATTTTCGGGTTTTTTGAAGTTGCACCACCCCTTTTCGTAAAACCCAATTTTCTGCTAGCAGAAATTTAGATTTTACTTTGCCGATGGCAGGGTGGTCTAAAAGTGGACAAGTTGACAACTGAAACGACCACTGTGCTCCCTCTGCTCAGAGTGGAACGGTCTTGGGAAGATGGGAAGCCAGTAATAATGGTAGAGGGTCAATGGTCTGCATCTGACGCGTTGACAGATGGCTTCACAGCTCTCGAAAAAAATATGGGTGATTCCTATTAAAAAACTTACAAATAGGAAAGGGGCCATCCAAAGCCTGACACTAGTCCTTTATGGTACCGCAAACTTCTAACTTCCCAGCACACAGTGTAATTTGAATGACGGTGGTAGCTTGCCGTCGGGAATTTCCATTTTAAATAAATGAGCGCATGGTGATATGTCCCTAACGATGTTATAGCTAGAATAAACCATAATGTCCATTCCAGTAGAATAATTGAATTTGTTGTGGAACGAAAACAGGTTGTAATCGAAAAAGCCATCTCAAGAGAAGAAGCTAGGTTCTGTTTAATCAAGTGAATCAAGAGTTTTTAAAATTTGAATTTGCTGAAATATTTTTGACATCCCACAAAATAATTCCAAAACACGTATTCAGCCAGTTATTCCAGTAACAAAAAAGGATAGCCATGAAAAAAATAAATCTTTCAGCCAATACACCATTTGGTCACTGATAGGACATCAAAGATGTAATTTAATACTTATCATTCAAATCTTTGTTCAAGTCATCAATACATGTGGGCAGTTAAAGTGGAGGACTGGGTCGTTCATATGAAAACAAATGATTCAAAGTGACAATGTGAAAGGATATTAAAGCAATGAAAACACAAAGTTTCAGGTGACGTCCCAGAGCAGTCATCAGATATAAGTGCTGTGAAATGCATGGACAGTGGATTGAATAACAAATCTTAGGATATCTGAATATCAAAAAGTTGGTTGTTCACTTTTGCTACTTCGAGTAACTTCCACCATAATTTGTGTCAGTCCTGGACAACCTATGTTCAATAATTTCCTGTAGAATAATTTCCTGTAGAATAATACTCCCCTCTGATAAATCCCGTAAAATTCACATGACGTGAAAAAGGTCTGATCTTTTTCACAAAATCGGCTAAATGGAAATACAAGTAGCATGAAAAAGGCCGATCACATGTAGCAGGGAAATGATGCCTGATGCCCGTCAACAGACGGCTCTGCATGTTTGCAATACTACCACATGTACATGTACATAGGACCGTCACTCTGGCAGCCTCGCAACTTTCGTCAAACTTAGTTTTTTCAGGGTCGAGCGATGCCAATCTTCCCAAGACCGTTCCATTTCAACGTAGGGAGGAAAGTGTCCTTCCAGAATGTCCAGTTTTTAACTTGCCCACTTTTGGACCACCCCACCATCGGCAAAGTAAAATCCAAATTTCTGCTAGCAAAAAAATGGGTTTTCTGAAAAGGGATGGTGCAACTTCAAAAAACCCGAACATCTACTGGCAGAAAATGAGAAAACGGGGTTTCTTCTTTGGGAGCATCAAATTAATTTTGCTTGTGAAAATTTGAAGTTTTTAGTAGTCCACTTCTTTAAGTAAATGCCCAATTTTTACTAGCAGAAAAGTGAGTTTTTGAGATAGCTATACGCAAATTTTCCAAACCCAAAAATCTACTAGCAAAAAATGAGAAATGGGGTTGTCCACTTTTGAACCATGACAGTAAGTTTGCCAGTGGGAATTTGAAGTTTTTAGTTGTCCACTTTTGACGTGCCATGAAGAGTTGTTAAAGTAAAATCCAAATTTCTCCTAGCAGAAAATTGCTTTTTTGAAAATGCTGTAGGTAAAGTCCAAAATTCTGAAAATCTACTGACAGAAAATGAGAAAATGGGGTTGTCCACTTTTGACGCTCCATAACTTATCCTACCTGATCTTTCAAAATATCTCTGGAGCTTTTGAAGATTTTGAATGATTTTGGAAGGTAGAGTCAAGCTACCTTCACTTGGGGCTCTCTGCTCCACTCCTTTGAGAATGAAGATTGTGCTTGGGGTTTCTTGCAAAGTGGAAGAATTATAAGAATTTAGGAAGGTTATCCAAGTGAAGTCTTGGGAATTAAGGTTAATGCAATTAACCACTTCATGCCGGGCATTTTTCAATGTTGATTATGCTGGGCTGGCATAATTATCACTTTTTCTGTTTCCAAAATTCTTCAGAACTTCATCATTTCATTTAACGGACGTTTATAGCCGCGCGAATTAATCTTTAGGCTCTACTCTAAGTTGACAGGTGACCTTCATTGACACCTGAGTATTTCAGCCAGGCCTGCAGCCTTGTAAAAAGAGCCTAGATTGTGCGGTGTTATGTAACTTTCTTTTGTTCACGAACTTGGCTCAGTGCACTACTGACCTCTTTTCAATAGGGGCCAGATTAGCGTGTAGCGGTGCCGTGTGGCTCATTGCTGCGGTGGTGGAGCGCTTTCCTCCCCGGTGGTAATCCGCTTGCTCTAAATGCTCCAAACCCTGGTATACAGTTTCAAAACAAGGCTTGATTATCACCACTTTTGAGAGTGAAAATGTTGATAATGCCCAGCAGCCTAGTCTTTTGTTCGGAGTACGGTCTTTTGTTACAGGGCCCTGTTTCCTTTGTCCGAGTTAGGAGACCCCGGCCACGCATATAAAGCATTTGTCTCTGATTCCGGAGTCCCCGGCAGGAAGTGGTTAAATGCTGAATGTTGAGTGGTTATATTTTTAATATTTTATATTCTTTTTCCTTCACAGAAGATTTCCTCTTGGCATCAGTAGTCCTGTTTCACTCTGTGATCGTTTGAAGAATAACTTTGATGAATTATCTCATTCTGAAAGTGCTGCAACGGTAGTCGTGATGCCACAGGAAAATGGCTCTGGTGAGGGGGCTGCCAAAGTAGAACATTCGGCTTTAAGTTATAGACAGTCCTACTTTCAAGATATGCCACTCCCTTACCCAAGACCTCTGCTTATGAACAAACCAACAAGCTTCAAAGAAAAGAAGATGTCTAATACCAATGTACGAACCCGACCTATCCGCCTGAGACCAAGACGTCCACTTTGCAGTAAATGCCGATCTCAGTGTAGCAATAATGTTGCTGCATCTGCTTCACATACCTCAGGGAAAAAGAGTGACAAGCTTTCATTGATCAGGAAACATAAAAAGGATGATGCCTCTACCAAATGTGTGGCAAACAAAAAAAACAAAACTACCACTGTAGATGTGCCGGAGGTACGTAAGACAAGCCCAGTGATAAAGATATCATATGCAAGTCCACAGGGTAAAGGGCATGTGGTACGAATACCAGCTAAAACACATTCAGCTAGCTACAGAAACAGTACTGAATCTAACCACACTAATAAACTGAAACAGACTGAAAAACTGAAATCACAGAAAATACTGAAAAAGGCTAGAACTCCACCAAAGAATAAGTCAACCAAACCAGTGCTGAATGGCTTTATTCATGGCAGTGACTCCAAATCATACCATGAGCAGCATAGACGAATTCGCATCATTAAATCAGAGGGTACCTACTACAGTACAGCAACTAATCATTGTGAAGATTCCAAGAGTGACACCAGGAGTCAGTTGAAAGATCAGTCTGAAAGCTTAACATCATCAGCAACTGTGGCAGCAAGCAGTTTGTACTGCATTTCAAAGACAACTTCGAAGGAGCATAGGGAACCCAATGTGAAAAGTAGTAACATCCAAGAAAGTAATATGCTTGGCAAAGGCAATGCACTTGAATGGAATACATCAAGGGAATACTCCAGCTACAATCAAGAGAAAAGTGGTTCAGATCACATGGATGTTAGTTCCAGTGTTGAGGGCAATATGGATGTGTGTTTGGAATCAGAGGAAAGCAACATGATCTCTCTACCTGGAAAGGATCGTGTACCATCCTTGAAAGTGCAGGTACACAAGAAAAATGTTACCAAAAGTCGTTTACAAGATGGCCGTGAAATGTGTATTGGTGACATAGTATGGGGCAAGATAACTGGATTTCCATGGTGGCCAGGTCGTATTGTTGAGATAGTTGTAAGTAGACATGAAGATGGTACTTTGCTTAGTCAGTTGGCACAGATCACGTGGTTTGCTTCAACAACAATCTCACATATGCCATTGACTGAGTTATACCCATTTCTTCCTTACTTTGCTGAGCGCTATAATCGTAAGAAGAAGGGGATTTACAGAGATGCTGTAAGACAAGCCACTGAGGCAGCAACTACTCTTTCGGCAGAGGTTCGTGCACTTAATACAATGTTCGAAACCTCAACATTACAACCATAAATATGAACACTTGAAAATTTAAGATCCTTCTCAAAGAAAGGACAAGAAATCATGGCCCTCACTTTGCCTTGTGACAGAAAAGTTGTACTTGGGACTTTTTAAAACTTAGCAGGCAGGGGTTTCTGATGTACTTTTTAACTTGCATTTTGCCATCACTGCCAAACTCAAGAAATTGGTATGCTTTCCAGTGATCATTGTAAAATAGTTCCATTGTTCTTTTAAGGCTGTGTTTTGTTCGTTGTAATTTTGTAGTTACCAGTAATTTACATCATGTAAGGGGGGAATTGGTTTCATATTAACAGCAATTGCTTTACATCAAAACAGTTTGCAAGAATGTCTGTCTCTGACCTCTAGTTTTTGTGTAGGACTTGATTTATAAAAATGCAAGAGAACAAACATGAAACCAAGCTGAGAGTAACAGGCTGTAGATAATGTATCAAACTAGGACCTTGTGCCTGTTGATAAATGCCTGTTGCAAAGCCCTGTTTATTTACTGGTACTTGCTGTTGGAAAAGTACACATGCATGTCCAGAGACCCACATGTAATTCCTACAATGCTGGCCCACGGCTGTGTGAATGACATGTACTTTCCCTTTTTCTATAATCGCTTCTCCACTACCCATGAATTAGGGGAGAACACTTAACTTTCAGAGGAGTTTTTTTCAGTTGGCTGATTATATAGCTTGCAGCAGTACAAACTCTTGGGATATTATTTGCTGCACTTAAATTGTAACCTTCCTCTTCATATTTATCCAATCCAATTGATTTTGATAAATTCAGGACAGTTTAGTTCAGCCGCTGTAACTATTTGTCAGTGTATCAATGATACGCCATGCTGTGGAGATGCCATCGGGTAATTGCACATTGCTGTTGAGAGGATGGTTCTTTACACTACCTACTGTAAAATGGTGGTGTGTGTTAATTTAATTTCATTTATGTGTACACGATTTGAATACAAGATGGCTGATTATACTGTTGGAGTCTTCATGTTACATGCAGGTGTGTATCATGTGAATACTGCCTTGTGCCATGTTACTAAACACAGTGTGTTGGTATACATTACAGTCAAGGAAGGGTGTACATATATTGGAGGTGTACAGGCACTGTAAGTGGGCATGGATGAGGGGATTATAATGAAACTTTACACCCACTGAATGGGGAAAATTTGGAAGGAGTGGTATTAGAGATTTTCTAATACATGGGGGTTCTATTGAATATGCATTGTGTGTTAATTATTGTCCATACAGGCATATTCATGTTATGCAAGATGTGCATTTTGGCTTGCATTCTGAAATTTTTGAATGGGAATTTTATGCAAAACTTCCATTTTCATAAGCATTCTTGGCCTCTTTCATGTTGTCTTTTCTGTCTCCTCAATGTTGGGCAGCGCCCTCGCAGAACCAACTCAGTCAAGAGTGCACATGGTGTGTCGCACATGCCAGAATTCCAATCATGTTCAGACAGTTTCCTTACTCTTGCATACCTAGCTAAGATTAAATTTATATGAAACAGCATAGTGCACTTGAAGTTTATATTAATAATTCTTGTACGAGTACATGTTCATCATCTTAATGGTAAACACAGATTGGTGTGCATTATGTGTAACATAACAAATTGGTTGATGGTTTGTCATTTGTGACCCATGAAAGGGGAACAGAAAAATAGGAAAGTTGATTGCATAGTGTTTGATCATGCCTACCTCCTTGTCTGTAATATCCACCTTCAATAGACCTAAAACATTCAGTGTAATGATGTCAAAGTTTGTTTACGGTTGCGCTTCCCTATGGGGACTCGATGGAACACATCACACCTCACTACCATGAGGCCTGTTTATTTCACACGGAGCTGGTTTGAGAGTTTTTCGTATCAGTACACACATAGATAAATACTGGACTGAATCTGTTAGCAAAAGCTTCTCCTGAACTCAAGTCGAATTTGATTTCAGCTTGTGTCTTGAAATATGTCTCCTAAAGGGGGATTCCCTCTGCATGAACAAGGTTGTAAAGTGTACTAAAATTGCTTACAAATTACCTGAACAATACCTCAGAAACTTGCTCTTGAACTTATTATTTATGCGACAGCAATATGAACAAGAACAATGATTAAGGTCAAGGTCATTGTTCCTCAGAGAGTAATCAGTGACAGGTTTAGAAGCTATTATTATTGTGGCACCGTGCTTTTGTACAGGAGGTACATTTACAATCCCACTTAATGACGCCTTTAGCCTGAAGGTGCAATGCTAATTTTTGCCAAAATACAGGTACATGTAAGTCTGAAGTTTAAGAACACATGCATGAGAATGGTGCCACCAGTGCAGTGCCATTGCAGTCATGCATCTCCTGGAATTAATTATCTACAATATAAGGCCAAAACAAACGCTTGCATTTTAAGTAAAGATAGTCATGGAAATATTTCCTCCTTATGTTTTGTTTACCATGATGTAGCAGCTTACAATTCAGCCTTTTTCAAGCCTTGTTAGCATCTGTTCAAGGTAGCTTAGTGGCCCATTCTTTGTTTATACAGTGGATTATTTGTGGAATAGTGAGACTTCTGTTGACTGAAGTCCTGAACTCTAAGGTTGTTTCTCAACTGCCAGTCAGTTTAATGTCTTGTAAATACATGTAACAGTCAAATATTATTCTATACACTTGTTTATGTTCAAGTATTTGAGTACTTTGTTTCCCCTTTGTAAGCCGTGACTTTTTTACATAACAAGTTGTACTTTGTACATTGTACGAAATGGGGATCATCCCTGTGCAATTGACTCATTTACACAGAGAACGTACATGTAATTCTACATCCCATAAAAAACATCCATTATATATCTAGAATTTCATGGTTAATCTCCGATGGAATTTTGAGAGCAGTAATGTGTAAATTAAAGTAGCAGTTGCATGTGGATCTGTACATCTTATGTGAAATCATGGAGCACTGGAATGAATATATGAAGAAGTTAGCATGGTTACACTGCACAAACCAGCAATGGGCCACTTTGTTGGTGTTTGTTACAGTTGTACTGTTCAGTGTTATAAACAAATAACCTCCTGTCACCTTCAGGCATAGAAAGTACAACTCAAATAGACGGCCAGCATGTGACAAAAGTAATTAAAATTGTAACAGTATTTACATACATGTATATTCAATGTATGAAGACATCACGTGTTCAAATCCATGGTTACTCTGTTGCTGGATGATTTTTTTAAATTCAGAATACATGTATGTCAGTGGTGCAGCTTTTTGTAACTCTTACATTAAATATGCTTTATATGTGCTTGAAGTATCCAAGGCCTTTGTAGAATTGTGATGGCATTCATGGAATGCCTTATGGGTTGATAGCCACGCCCAAACCTACAATTTGCAGTGGAGAGTGGCCACCTCATGCACTAACAACAAAATGTAAGTTCTTGTTCAAATGCATGTACATGTACTATGCAATTTGGTATTAAGCTCTGTTATCATGCATTTTGTCTGAAGGTTTTTTCAAAAACTGGATGCCTGATAACCCTCAGGCAGCCCATAAAGATAGGACTTGCTCTATGGGCATGATGAGCAGGCAAACAAAACCTTTCATTGACATGAGATATCGGCATAGTCTGTACAGGCCTGCACGTGTTTCTGTTCTCTGTATACATGGAACATGTATACCATGGACCTCCGGATATTTTCCCAGACATTGACCAATACATTCGAAAAGTTCAAACACATGTATATGTCTGTTATGTCTTAATGTTTTATGTAATTGTAGGAATTCTGTATGTTCACCTTTGAACAGAAATAAATATTTTCAGTTTCAAAGAAAATGATTTAGTTTTCTGTTCTGAGGAAATAATTATTACTGTAGCGTGCATCTTTACTATAGTCTTTATAAAATGCTGTCAGTCATGTCTTGTGACAACATGTATATTGTATGCCCATCAGCTTGGCTGAAATTTACCAGTGCACTGCTGTGTGAGACATACTAAAATGTAAATGCTTTTTGGGGACAGTTTATCACTGGGCATCTGTTTTCCTTTGTTTTGATCGAGCCATCCCATAAGGTAGATGGAGATTTGCATTAAGGGCTGAACAGAATGCATCCACTGTTGTAATTGTTTAGTCTCTGGGGTACTGTTTCCCAATGTTTCTCTGCTTTCAGTTCAAGTGGCCATAACTATGGGAAACAAAACACCTTGAAAGAGCTTACAATTGAATTAACACAAATAATAAAAAAATTCAGGCAAATACTGCCGAGCTAGGAGGCTTCCTCACTGAAACAAAACAAATGTATATTCATAAATACCTCAGACAGTTTTTCTATTCCTGTTGGTGGAAATGTATCACTTGACCATGTATTAACAAATTTGACAATGCCCACTGAGAAGTGATAATGCCCACTGTGAATCACGCACTGGCACATGGATACGAGGCAGTTTAATCCGTCTGATTGGTCAGGAATCTGTATGCGCGTGACGTGCCACGCATGTGCCGCGTGCATCAAAGGGGATTCTATTGGACAACTTTCAAAAGGAATATACCATAAAATGAACAGGGCTGTTCAGAAAAATGAAAGTAAAATTGTGGAACAAAATCATTAGAAATTTGTCACATGTTGATTTCTTTGACTCTTTCGATAAAAAGGTATTTGTGAATGGGAATAAATATATGCTTGACTATGATAGATCCTTTCATTTTCTGTCAAGCTCAAAAAATGGCCTCGGTTAAGAAACTGCTAGATGATTCCTATGACAGTTTATGGAAAACTATGGAAATTGACTCTTTGTTTAACTTTCACCCTACTATAGACATTTTGTGGAAATCTAATCCTCCTGAGAATCTTTTGGGTAAAATAAAAACACTCAGGTTGTGGACTCTATTAGGACATGGACCTTCTTCAGGGAAAAGGCTATTGATATGAGCTTCGAATTAACTGATTTCTCCTCAGAAATTCTGTGGTTGAATAGACATATTCGCTCTAAATCAAAGCCATACCTTGATTTTCCAGAGTGGTATGAAAAGGTCTAATTTGTGTTAAGGACTTCTTCAATGAATCTTAACCTGATCTTCTTTTATTTGAAGAGCTCATAATTGAGTATGATTTTTCCTTTAAAGACAGAAGGAAGTATAACACTTTGCTCAATTGTATTCCTCATGATTGTTTTTTTATAAGCAACTGAAGGGTGATGATTTAATGACTGTGTTAAAAAATAACTTCATGTTGAAAAAAGTGTCTTAGTATACTTACAATATAATGACTGATAAACCCACCCCAGAAAACAACAGAATTTTTGGAATAGTGCTATAAATGCGAACTTGGGAAGATGAAAATTTTGAGGTGATTCATACACGTAACTTTAAATGAAACCAAATTAAGAGTTTTTTATTTTAAGATGTTTCATGGGGCTATTGCCTTGTTTCTCCTAAGGATACTTTTTGTGATAGATGTCCCGAAACTTTGAGTCATTTTTTTTTGAGTTTGATCATGTTTCACCCATCTTGTCAGACCTCATGTCTCTTATCTACCAAAATCTCAAAGACCCAATTCAGAATGGGAAATCTGAATTCTTTTTTGGAGTTCCCCATAACAAATTTTTGACTTATGTTTTTCTTTGTACTAAGTTTTATTTATATAGGTGTAAATTCCAGATTCAAATGCCTTCCTTTTTGGGGTTAAGACTATTTTTACAAAATCAATATCGTATAGAATATAAGAGTGCTATTAAAAATCAAACCCTTAGTCTTCATTATAAAAAATGGAAATTCCAATTCTAATTCTGTAAACCCTATGCAATTATTTCAAATTGACATGTGCAGTGACCATCTTTCTACATCTCTTCATGGCCCCCACTTTTTTCTAAAGTTTTTTCTTTTATACTTTCCCTTTATCTTCTGTTTTCTCAATTTCCTTAATTGTGTATAATTTGTGGTTTTTCTTTCTGATGTATGTTTTGTGTTTTTATGATCAATAAAACATAAAAAAAAAAATATGCGCTTGACTGGTTGCTCAGGAGAACAAATGATGATAATTCCCTCACCTGCCACTCGGCCAACAGTCAAGTCCAAATTCCTGAGTCAGTCTTATAACGCACAATTAAGACCGGCTAAGCACATATTTATTCCCTTACGGAAAGTGTACATTTTCCATTTAGTCTAAAACAGCCCCATGTCTTGAATAGATTTAGGATATGGGACCAGCCAGCATATCATCTGTGTGAATGATCTCTCTTGGACATGGAGGGTCACTTCACTGGAATAGCCACACATGCAGAAATGAAACAAGCTGCATTCCTCACTCAAGCGTATGATACTAATATGGGACTGGGGGATGTACATGTATACATAAATGTATGCCTACATTTTCAGTTGGAGGTGCCTCTGTGATCATTCAGCAGTCTTAGTGATTACAAATGTGATTATTTATTTTTTTTAATGAATGTAATACAAAGTTGTTTTCTGTGATCAGTAAAGCAGATGCCCATTACCCTGTGAAGAAGATATGTAAGTATTGAACACATGGAAACATATATGCTTGTACTTGCCATTTTTTACTAGGGTTCTCGAAAGAATGAACAGTGTTCATGATATTGCATAGAGCACATGGTGCATGTACTTCTATCTGGACAAAACTTCAAGAAAAATATATTAAAAGGTGAGCAATGTGGACCATTTCACAAGTAAGCAAAGAATTCCTATCTTGCAGGTCTAGTGCTTTTGTTCCAGTTCACAGGGTATGCACAAAGATTTCCCTGTGTAACAAAACAGCTGCCCTGCAAGATGGCTACCACGCAAACCTTCAAGTCACCTTATTTATTGATGATGTCTCAACTCCCCTTCAAGCTTTTTAATTAGCCTCCATGCCAGCCTTTATTGTATATGGATGAAGTGGTAGACCATCTTGTATGGCCATCTTCACTGGCCATAAGTTTTGCACAGGATTTATATGCCCTAGTTAAAGAATACAGTGACATTTAGATTTCTTGCCCACAGCTTGACACATGCTGACATAACCGTTAGAAATGATGTATTTGAGAGATGCATGTTGATTGGAAAAAGTTGCTGATCACTGTTTTTGCATGGTGCAATTTACTGGAAATGAAGCTACATGTACATGTAATTTGGTCTGGTGAAATAACTGCACAAAATAGATGTGATTAACAACTTTTTCCAAATGCCCCTCATTTTGACTTGTGAACCAATTGGCAACAATGGACAAGCATGTCTGTGTTATTTGGGACTGTATTTGTTTGTTCATGGCCTTAATCACTCTTCCCCACAGCTGTTGGAATGCTGAAAATTTCAGAAGCATTTTTTCAAGTTTTTAAATGGGTTGAGCTCATGTGAGCAATAACATGGGTTAACACTTCCACAATCGCATAACATGCATACTGAATGTTCATGCACATGCATGGATTAAGACAGCAAGCAACCAACGCATCTATGCATCTGTAGTGTAGCTGTGATGTATCTCCTTAACAGAACTTTTTGAAAGCCATTTGCCTTTCCCAGATTGGTTTTGAAATATGGTGCTTTGTGGAGACCTAGGAGAGTGAGTTGAATAGGTCTCAACAAAGAATTTCTAAAGGTGTATAGGTTTCCACAAGGATTTCATGAAACTGATATTTGCAAATCGCTCACAAAGAAGAAATTTTTAAGGTGTAAGAATCAGCACAAATTAAAGTGTTTCATATAGAGGACATTCGGTCAAAATTTCAGTGTAGGAGTGATTCTTGTTAAAATGGGAGCATTTTGAAAACATCGTTTCACACGCGACCATATTAGTACTGGAGAACAAAGCCATGACTCCACAAGGATACAAATTGGTCTACTGACAGACCGAGCGATGGATGTCTTGACATGAAGTGATGTGGTCCCTGTCTTAAACAGGTCTCCCCATCCATTCTGTTGTCATTTTTTTCTGAATGGAGTGGAGATGCAGGTCAGCTGGTATTATAATGGTGCCATGTGTGCCTATTTTATATATAAAGTTTTCCAAAATGCCCAATGTTTTCCCACAAGGTACAAATATTCTTTTTTATACATGTACAATGCCTGCATAAAAGCCACTCATCTGATTGGTTGATTGTTGGTCACATGTCCACTGAATTGTATTTCACAGTATCCATTGAATAGAACTTAATTTCACTTTCCTAGTTCCCACCCCCATTTCATTTCTGGTATTAAAGAGAGGAACATAATGCAGGGACTGGAACCAGTCAAATATTGCACAGTACTACTAGTGGGTGGTGCTTCGGACATGAATCGTTTTGCAAAATGGCGGACATTAATATGTGAGGACTGTTTGCTCCCCTAACAGAGGAGGGAGTATCAGAAGTCAACCAATCAGGTGATGAGGATTTATGCAGGTATTGTATGAACCAAATAATTAATGTTTCACATATGTGCAGTGGTAAGAATAATTTTGAGGTGGAATGGAAAATTTCGTTTGTTACCTCATGAAATGATTCTCACCACCTCAATATGTATTATTTGTATACCTTTTTTATGGTATCCACAATCAATACTAGGTTGCTTTAATCAACTTGAGATGAGTTCCTGAGCATCAAATGTTTAACTTGTCAATTGATTTTCTTTCTATTACCTGGAAATTCTTTAGAAAAAGAAAAGGTTGGCAAGATGACTTAAAAACCGCCTTGCTATCAAACTCCTCAGTGTCAAGGACTGGAACACAAACATATGTGCATCCCCAGCCTCCCATGCTTACTACTCCCAGGTATATTACTTAAGGAAAGTCAGTACAGAAACAAAACAAAGTCCACTGATTTCTACAAGTAAATTCTACATCCAATATTCCGGTTTTATTTGTGAATGGAGTGTTTGCCATTTGTTTACTTTCAAGCTCACTACCTGCACGTATGGTCCATTGTCATGAATCAAATTTCAAGCTTTGACTACTGTACAAATAAAAGTTATCCATATTAATTAAAAAATAAACCGAAAATGTATCTCATCCCAAATAATGGATAAATATTTTCAGAACTAATGCTTTCAACCCAACTTAGGTATCACCTGCTGTATCCACTAAGTAGGCCTTTGTTTAAAGTCCAGTTAAGATTAATTTTAGGTTTACATTGCTCAGATTGATAAAAACTAGTGAGGTGGGCATTTATATTTTATGAATTCTCCTTTTTCCCATCCAAACTGAATTGAGGTCCAAGTTTTCTAAACTGTAAAAACCCTGAAAAGTACAACATAATAATTACCAGTCAGCCTTTTTTCGGTAAATGGTGTTTTGATGAACAAAACAAATTTGAAGTAATCCCACATACTACAAGTCATCATTATTTAACGATGGATTTATATGGTATTCATGCAACAAAACTATGGGTATAGCGCACAGCTCTGCACAAACCAAAAGTGTTTTGCTAAATCAAGGGGACTCTTTATTGGATGAGAAATTTGTTTGAAAAATATTTCACTGGAAAGAGACCAAAAAGCTTTTAGAAAAACAAAGTTTGGCCCACCGGTAGTATGAAAATTCGAGTCATATGGCAATGTGACCCTCAAAACTGTAACTTGCCCAATGCCACATTTCACTTTCTAATTTTTACATTTTTTATTACATTTTTACATTTTAAATTTGATAAGCATGCCAGGTCGGAATATAAGTCTTTTGTTTATGAGCTCATAATAGACTTTTTAAAATCATGTATGGTCCTTAGATAATTTTATTGCTTTTGTAACAAACAGGGAAATAGATTTTGTCCAAGTTATTAATTACATGCATTATAAAATAAAAAAGTAATCCAAATGATTGGAATGAGTTGTAGAAGAATCAAGAAGATTAAAAAAGGTTCTAGGAGCGCTGTCTAGAAGGTTAAGGTTATTAATCATAATCTTTATAATTTCACTTTCAATATAAGATCTTTCAGTCCCAAATACTTCTGCACAATATCTGTACAATGCTAACATTAAACCCCCCAAAAAACAACAAGTGAGAATTTTATGTTGATAAGTATCAGTGTGTGTCTTGATCAGTTGATAAAGTTTCATCAACTTAATGACTCGCATTACTAATGCATATTGACATACACTTCATACATTGTTGACACAGTATGTGCCATTTGTTCAGATATGATCGAGCTATTAACTACTCATGCAATCAGAAATGTGGCGGTGAGTAGATGGAAGCCATATTAATTCTGGATTCTGGTAATGACAGAAATGTGGATATTGTTATTTATCTTCAATCTTGTATCCTCAGATTCACTGCAAACTCACCGTAAATTCAAAAGTGATTTATTTGTGTCCTATACTTATTGCCATATGCATCTTGATGCATTTTATTTTGTGTGTGTGTGTACATGTAGAGACAAACCTGACAAGATGCCATTCCAATGGGCCATTTTCACTCACACAGCTGTCTCAAGCTGAGCATGCACGCCCACTTCGGCAATTGACTGCTGCCTATTGGTCAAGGAGGAATTTCACCTGTGCACACCACCTGCGTGCAAACAGGATGGCCCTGTAGTGATACCTTCTAATTTTGGTCATAAGAAATGTCTATAGATTGCACGGACATTAGAGTGTTCAAATGACAGTGTGAATATAAAGTCAATTTACTGGTCAGTGTAATTGCCACAGTAAATTGCAATACATGCACCCCTTCATGTCCCCCCCTACAAATTTTGTATTAGTTACATGTACAAGAACATCACTGCAACAGTAGGCAATTGATTATTACACATTTGGATCTGAGTGAATCAATGTATGACTACCTATAAGAGGGAAACCAGGTGCCACTACATGTATCTAAATCAGACTGCTCGTACTTACTTTTGACACCTTCCTTTAGACGCATGATCTCCCCTCAAAATTTCCCTGTTCCTTCTAATATGTGTTTTCTATGAGGTTTTTAAGTTGGTAACATTTCCCATTGACAGTCTTACCCCAGTCTTTATATGGGTGCCAGATTCTTCCTCCTTAGGATGTGTGTGCTTATTATTCTTGGAATAAAAAAAAGGGTTTTTATGGGCCGTTAATGCTGACTCATTACATTTATCACAGTATTTGGTGCATATACGTGCAGATGTTACAGTCTTTAAAGCCCTTTAATGTTAAGGTCTGATGACTTATGCAAACTAAGGTTATCAAGTTGTTACATGTATTTAAAAGAATACAACTCAAATCAATTTGAGTAAGAAGTGCAGTACTAAAAGGTGGCAGCTTATGTTCACTAATAAATCCTTTGGGAAACCAAAGGACATCAAAATGTAGCACTAATGCATAAACATTGGAAGTTAGAGGCTACAAGCTTGTGAAATATACATGGATAAAAATGTTCTGCATACATTGTACACGTAGGATATATCCAATCCTACTGAAGTAAGTACACGTACAGTTACTTTTGTTCAATTCCATCTTCATGTTGATGCATCCAGTTTGACTCACACCAAACTGTTCAGCTCATGTTTCTGTCCGTTTCTTGGTTGTGGATGACTGTGTCCATGATAAACACAGGCAACCTGACCGTCTTCCTGAATTATAAAGAAGATAATATAAACGGTTGATTCACAACACGTGCTACATTCAGGAAGCACATTTTCCTTGATCAGAAACAAAGACTAATTAGCAGCCTATCAAGGGATGATAAATAAATGGGAGGGATATGCCTAACAGCAATCAGATTAAAATAAGTAGTCGACCATTTCTTGCATCTCAAAGGTAAGACCAGGTGAATAAAAGGATAGTATTTAGCAAGAAGTTCATTACAAAAATTAGTAAGAGGTACTCTGTACAGTATACATAGTTCCCTTTTTCCCCCTTAATTGTGGGGAGTCTGGTGTTTTCTCAAAATGTACATGTGCACTGCACCAACAGTTTCCTGCAAAATGAAAAGCTGCCTTATGTCATTTTGCAGTCTTCTCTCTTCTTACAGCTTTAATGTTGTGTTTCCAATGTTCCTTTGGGGGGGATCAAAACTACTATGACTTAACTCAAAACTGATGAACTAAAGTGACAGTGATTGATATGTAAAATCAACAGGCCACAGGTGATCACGGAAGATTTCCACAGAAGCAAGGCTATTTCATTGTCCAACTGGAACAGCTCCACATGCAGGGTTCAATGGGTCTTTCCACTAGAATGTAACCTAATAAATGGCCAACTGGTCAGAGGCAGTATGAGCAGCATACATTACATGTAGACCATAATACTGCAGTATTCTACCTTTAGTTTCCTTGGCTTCGGTACTGGCTTCATCATAGGCAATCCACCTGATTCTGGTGTTCTACATGCAGGCCTATCACTTTGTTGTTTCAATAACTGTGAAGAAGGACGCTCACGAAGAACAGGCTTGATTACTTGTGATAACTTAGTTGCTGTAGCAAGTTGCTGTTCTTCTTGCTGCTTTGGAGTGGGAGGAGCCCTTCTCTTCTTGTGAGTTTTAGCAGGAGATAGATCAGATCTAGCATATGAACCTCGTGCTGAAGTGGTAGTGGTGGTCTCTGGGGTTGAGGGAGGAGTGCAGCTTTTGGCATAACTTTTTTGAAGTTGATCCAAAAGCTCATGTCTCACATTGCGCAAGTTCATTCTCTGCTGAATAGTCTGTCAAATTAATACATGAAATACAAATTGTGTAAATCATTTGTATACATATGTGGATCAATAAAAGTTACATTTTTAGCATTTGTTAGAACTTATTACTCAAGGCCCAGCGAAAAAAAGTCAAAATGGAATCTTGTATCTAAAACATCATCTGAGTATTGAAATAATGTTAAGCTTAAAACTTCAAAATAAAAACATTTTGAATCCCATTGATGCCTACATTAAATAATATGGCTGGAACCTGTTCATTTGCAGCAGGAAATTTTGAACAGGTTTGAGATACGAGGGGATCATACACTACTTAGGGTTAGTGGGTCAAATGGCTTTACACTACTTCAAGTGGTAAAGTGCAGGAAACGTCTTGCCGATTATGCTGTAACTTACTATTGTTTTTAACCACTTCCTGTCGGGGACTCAGGAATCAGAGACATGGTTTATGTGCGTGGCCGGGGTCTCCGAACTCGGACAAAGGAAACAGGGCCCTGTAACCATACTCCAAACAAAAGACCAGGCTGCTAGGAATTACCGACATTTTTCACTCTCAAAAGTGGTGATAATCCAGTCTTCTTAAGAAACCGTAAACCAGGGTTTGGGGCATTGAGAGCAAGCGGATTACCACCAGAGACAAAAGCGCTCCACCACCGCAGCGATGAGCCACACAGCACCGCTGCACGCTAATCTGGCCCCTATTGAAAAGAGGTCAGCAGTGCACTTAGCCAGGTTCGTGAACAAAAGACAGTTATACAACACCGCACAATCTGGGCTCTTTTTACAAGGCTGCAGGCCTGGCTGAAATACTCGGGCGTCAATGAAGGTCACCTATCAACTTAGAGTAGTGCCTAAAGATTACTTCGAGCGGCTATAAATGACCGTTAAG